TTGGAGACTTGATGGCGCAGAGACCTTGCCGAGGTGCAAGGGTGGTCTTGATAGTTAATTGAAGACATACGAGGGGTTTCTTAAAGCTTGAAATCCACGAATAAATTGTGAAAATTCACTCATAGCAGGTCGCTGTTCGTCAGTGACTAATATGCTTGGCATGTCTTCGCGTGCAGACTTGCATCATATGTACGGATGCATTGAAACCTCACAGGTACTGATGACTTTGATTCGAGGAAAGCATGTACGCCTCGTATCCTGAGATACCTGTATCCTAGAGTTGTGCCAGCCATGCCCAGAACCAACCCGAGGCCTCTCCCATCTGACCGGCTCTCCTATCCGACCGCGGTCATGACTGCTCCTCGTGCACCCCAAAGTATCGAAACCTGGGTAAGTCGGGCAAGCGCGTTGTCAGTGGACCAAAGTCTCTGTCAAGATTCATAACACAGCAGTAAACCCGGGGCCTTTTGGATCGGAGACGACATTTTGAGCTTACCAGTCATCCATGCTGATGTCCGTGAACGAGCCAGGCAGACCGTATGTGGTGCCCATGAAGCCGACCGTGTTTGAGCGGTGACCCTCGAAGCCGCCCGGGCGAAGCACGTTGCCCCCATCTCCAGTGGCTTCGTAAATTTGTTGATTGTCCCACGTCACTTTTGGAGAAGAAAGAAAAAGGAATTGGATATATCAGCTCCAGTCTAGACCACGCATGGGTTGGAAATGCAAAGGGCGGATAGGAATATGGATCTGGCAGGGAAAACGCTTACTGGGAGATCGAGGGACGTGATGCTGGAATAACCCCTGCTCTGGGGCACTTGACATGTAATGATATGACTCGCCGGACTGGGAGAGAGGCCGTTGTTGTGGCTCGACCGGATTCTCTGGTATTGCGGTGTTGAGATGCTGAGCGGTACCATCCTGCGCAATCCGCTGAAGCATCGAGTGCTGCTGCTCGGCAGGAGCAGGAATCTTTGGCGAGACCGGGGCCAATCCAAAGACTGACAGCATGCCTGTGGGCACGCCGGGCACTGATGTAGTCTGGTCGAGGGTCGCCCGCGACGGCTGGCTCGAGTCGGCGATGGCGGTGCTCGGCCGACCAAACGCCTTCTGCGTGTTCGAAGGCCGCTGGACGGATACACTCTCCTGTTTTCCACTGGGAGGGACTCGCTGCGGCGGTTTTCTCTGCTGCTCCTTGGAAGAGAACGCGTGAAACGAGTGGCTGCGATTTTTGTATCTACTGCCGCTACCGTTCCTGCCGACACTATCCGCAGTGACCGCGGCTGAAGCTTGGGTGTTGGGTGCTGGCTGAACCCAGAGGCGGATGATGTCGTTTGCGGGCGCCGCTTTGTAGATTTCCTGCAGCACACTTATACACGACTTGATGTGCCCGCCCACGTCGGAGAAGTCCATCGGATCTGGCTTGTGCACGCGGCGGCCGTGAAATGTCAAGGCCGAGAGCAGTGAGTACTGCACAAACGACGGGCAGTAGAGCAGCTCACTCCTGGCTTGAAGTACCTCAACAATGTAAGTAATTGCGTTGGCGGAGTGGTACGCCACGTGGATCGAAAGTGTTCTGGCTGTAGTCGGATCGGATGCTGTTAAATCGGTGGCGCCACTGCCACTGCTTGAGAGATTGGCACGATGCAGGAGGCACACAGCCGTGTGGTAGTGCAAAGCCAATAGAGCGCTCCAAGGTTCGTGTTCTGACTTGAGCCAGGGTAATTGGCAATCTTGCAACCATTCTCCCAGAGCAACCTCGCTCTGGATCAAGTCGAGGCCGACGTTCCTAGGCCTATGACGGCTCAAAGAATATTGTTGAGAGAGAATCACTGTGATGATGTCGCAAAGCCGGACATATTCGAGGAAGAAGCGGACCTGAACTCTGGGCTGCCAATTTTCGACGTTTGCCGGCTCCTCTTCGTCGCCTATCAAGTCATCCAAAGTCAAGGTCTCAACGTCCGACTCGTCCAGATTAATGATGCAGGGCCGACCCAGAGTGACAGCAACTTCTCGGTCACGCGTGTAGAGCGTCCACCAGATCCTCTTCCAGGTTCTCTTCTGGCTCTTGCTCAAATTCGAACCCTCGATGTTCCGATGCATCCCAGCACCTTCGGCCACCGAGATTGCTACGCTCGTCCAGAACCAGGCATTGTCGTTGACGGCTGCAGGATCTTGAGAGTACCAGCTCATCAAGACGAGCCCCTGTATCATTTTCACCCGGTCTGTCTCGTAACCCACGTTGAACAATGCTTTCGCTCTCTCGTAAAACTTTCGCGACAGTTGTCTTTGCGCCTCTATGTTGCCGGCAACCTTCGGGTGCTTACAGACCCTAGATCCTGCCAACATGATAGTCTGCAGCAAAAAGAGCGATGTCGACTTGCTCGAATCCTCGTACTCTTCCATGAATTCTCTCTTGTTAATTGCGGGCACGATAGGATGCACCCACTGAAAGAACGCCGCGATCAGCTCATCGCGGATATCCTTCGGGGGCAGCCGAAACGCACTCCGCTGGTGCAGTATGTCCATCTCCAGACTGTCGAGCCTCTTGGTACCAGCACCGACTTGGACATAGCCAGGAGCCATTGGAAAGTGCAAGGGGTGGTTGTGATCTCGGATCAACCAGTTCACACTCGCTGATTCACCAAGGAAAGTGACCTGACCAGGCTCCTCCAGAGCCGGGACCATGAATTGTGTCTTGTTCAGCAGATCCGTCAACATGTTGGCGGCGATGGACTCGTCTTGCGCCTGCTCCACTGTCAATGATGGCATCGGACCCTGCTCCGACATGTGGTAGAGCCCGGTCGGTGGTTCCTTGGCAGTTTGCAGATGGGCTGTATCTGTACCTTCGGCTGGCCGTATGGCATCGGCTCTGTACTCGGAAGGTGCTGTGAGATGCTATGTTTCTGTGTCCGAGAAACAGAGAGTGAACGTGGTGCTAGCTTACCGACGAGACGCAGAATCCAAGCCCGCATTCGTTGCTGACGAAAACATGACATTCCGCTGCGCTATCCTGCAGTCGATCCGGAATGCCGCACAGTTGGTGCATGGCAAGCCCAAGGTGGAAACATCGCATCGGACCTGTCGAAGACGAGAGCACTCCGTTAGTGCCAATCAATGATGAGGAGAAGCGCGTCCGCTAAGGCAAGGACTCACCTTTCTGGTGTGGCATGTCTGCGTAACCAAGCCGTTAGCTCTCAAATTTTACATTTCTCATCGCGCTGCTGATAAGATGTAGCCATCATCGCGAAGGTCGCGAATGAGCCCACTGCCACTATCAGTAGAGTTTGTGACGTACCTCACAGGCTTGCGCTGCTCGTTGCCGTCTGATACGATGATGGGTCAGCATTGTAACCGATACATGTACAACGTCAAGTATAACTGACCGACGGTAGATTGTCGGTGCCTGGGCATTCGCTGAAGGTTTGCTGTTTGTTGACGATGTCCATTCAGAAGGGTTCGAGGCCGTTGAGCCAGATTCTTTTGCGAAGCTCGCCATGGCGAGAAGGGCGTTGTTCCTCAACGGCAACGCGCGGAAAGACTCAGGACATGGCCGTTGCGCCAAGTTCCACCACAATCCATCGCCCCAAAACCTTGCAGCCGCTGACAGTCCGGCGGGATGCTACCTCACGCGCGCCCAGAGTGTAACTCAAACAAAGATCGTCGGGTGCAACAAAGACCGGATTGAAAGCTGAAGTGCCTGGGTAGTTGAGCTAAAGCGGCGGAGACTCCAGATACAGCCGCGGCTACGGGCGTTGCTGGTCGGCGCAAGAGCGGCACGGTCCTGTCGCTACCTTTCGGCTAAAGTTCTGTCCGTTTTGCCGTTGTCCACAGGATGTCAAATTTACAACGCAGTGGCTTTGATGATCCCTTGGGACGCCGGGCCTCTGCAAGCTGCAAGCACCCTGTGAAGCGGCTTGGTAGAAGGACACGGCTAGACGAGGAGAAGTTGCTTGAGGATTGGCACGTGACAGCGAGAACGGCCTGGAGAGTTGTTAAGGAGGATGCTCAGCGTCGGTAGGCAGGCGAGATACTGGGCCGGGCAGGGTTGTCCAGCAGCACCAACAGTGGCCATCTGCTTGGCATGTTGACATGCCTAAGCGAGCTGATGTGCGGGGATGGCGAAGGCGGGGACCCCGGGCTTGTCTGCCTCCCCGAAGATTCATTGTGGTTGAGGATTACGGGCACGAGGATGTGGGTATCCGATCTCAGGCAAAGATTCGGTAGGCTGATCATGCTCTGAGGATCACTGAGCTGCGGCTGTCGAGTTACCAACCTGCAAGACTTTCGACGTTGTTGATGTTGATGATCGAGATTTCAAGATGCCTGGATGCCGTGCTCGTCTCGAGATCGTGGGTGAGCTCAGCTGGGCGTTGACGGCCAGGATTCCGGCCGAGAGGAAGCAGGAGCCGGGGTTTGCGGGGGAGAGGAGAGGGAAGCTAAGCTGATGGGATTCTGGGGTTGCCCCTGCCCACCCACCACAGGCAATAACTGCGGAGTACCATGTGATGATGGCACGTTAGGGCCCGCCCGGATGGGCACAAGGGTCCGTATGTTCAACCTCTGCCTGCATGATGGAAAGGAGCGGGGCAGCAGCAAGAAGCTTGCAGTCCCAGCTCATAGACAAACAATTATTCGCGATGCTTCATAATACAAGAAGCCTCGGGATTCTTCAATGTGCCCTATCACGTCTAAGCAAGACCATCTTGTAAGACTATTGGGTTTCGCAGGTCTCAGACATCGGAGTGTCTGGGTTGGCCGCCGAGGACGAACCAGGGCTCTTCGTTTAGCCATGCAAGCCAAGCTTTGCTGCTGATTCCCAAGCACGGAGCTATGGATTCTTGTGCCCACAAGAGACGGGTTCTCTCGTCTGATCTGAATATTGTCTCTGATCTGCCATTGTTGTCGTCTCTGGTATGACGAAGGAGAGGTTCTCGTTGATGAGAATCTGATTGCCGATATATGGCTATATAATCGACCTGTCCTCTATCAAATCATCACATGGTCTCGTGGCCCAATGGCAAGGCGTCTGACTACGACGGTCTGAGTTCCACTCAGTCGATTCCTGAAATCAGGAGATTCTGGGTTCGATCCCCAGCGAGATCATCTTTTTGACTTCTGGTGGGGCCCTCCTCCATCAGAGAGGTGGTGCTTGAGCTGCCTCACTTTTTGTCTTCCTTGAGCCGCGGGAACTGCCGGACATTGTCCCGCACCATATGGTATCGATAAGGCCTAGTCAATGCCCAGCACATCCCAACAATCCGATTTCGAGCTGCATCCTGCCAGCGAGTGAATGCCCAATTGCTGTAGTCATACAATATAGTTGTTGTCGGCTTCAGCTTATCAAAAAGGACGCAGTGGTGCATTTTTCTCCTCCTCCAGGTCCCTCCAGGAGACGCACTCTGCAGACGACATCGCGGGCCCGACACTACCCGAACGTTGCCGCTGACAAGCACCAGAGCTGCAGTCCGGGGCTAGCCTGGTGGGCCGGGGGGCAAAAGGGTCCAGCAGCCAATCTGCGCTTTCGGAATACCGCCTCTGGACATTTTCATGAGCAATCACCAACCTCAACCCGCACCTTGGGCCACGAGTACCGCCACAACCAGCATTACGACTCGAATCAACTCGACTCGACCGAGTTAGCTCTTATCTGGCTCTTGAAGTTTCCCTTGTCTGCCTCTGTTCTGCCCACGATGGCTGCGCCCGCAGCCTCCCTGCAGCGCATGCGTGCACCCCTCCAGCGGGCCGTGAGGGCCTCTATCGCATCATCGCGTGCCTACGCCACCACCGTCCCAACACCCACAACCACCTCAACACAGTCCCCGCCGTCGTCACAATCCACGCCATCAGATGGCTCAGCGCCCAATGTCACAATACTCTCCGCGGACGGCAAGCCCCGGCGGCCGACATACTTCAAAGACACCAAGCTCGCCTCCTTCGGCGACTTCGTCGGGGCCCAGCAAGATGCGCCGCTCCGGGTGACAGACGCCTACGAGCTCAAGACCGTCGAGGTCGGCCCGGCGTCGAACCGGCGGACGATAACACGGCTGCCCCCGTGGCTCAAGACGCCGATCCCAGCGGGCAACGACAACTACAAGCAGATCAAGAAGGACCTGCGCGGCCTGGGCCTGCACACGGTCTGCGAGGAGGCCCGGTGCCCCAACATCTCCGAGTGCTGGGGTGGCAGCAACAAGAACGCGGCGACGGCGACCATCATGCTCATGGGCGACACGTGCACGCGCGGCTGTCGCTTCTGCAGCGTCAAGACGAACCGCAAGCCCCCACCGCTCGACGTCCACGAGCCCGAGAACACGGCCGAGGCGCTCGCGCGCTGGGGGCTCGGGTACGTGGTGCTGACGAGCGTCGACCGCGACGACCTCGCCGACGGCGGCGCTCACCACTTCGCCGAGACGATCCGTCGCATCAAGTCCAAGAAGCCCGGCATGCTGGTCGAGGCCCTGACGGGTGATTTCCGGGGCGACCTGGACATGGTCGAGGTCGTCGCCAAGAGCGGGCTCGACGTGTACGCGCACAACGTCGAGACCGTTGAGGATCTCACGCCGTACGTGCGTGACCGGCGGGCCACGTTCCGCCAGTCCCTCGCGGTGCTGGGCCACGTGAAGAAGGTGCCCGGCGCCGAGGGCATCATCACCAAGACGAGCATCATGCTGGGCCTGGGCGAGCAGGACCACGAGATCGAGGCCGCTCTGCGCGAGCTGCGCGCCGTCGACGTCGACGTCGTCACCTTTGGGCAGTACATGCGCCCCACGAAGCGCCACCTCAAGGTCGAAAAGTACGTCACGCCCGACGAGTTTGAGAAGTGGCGCAAGCGCGCCATGGAGATGGGCTTCCTGTACGTCGCGAGTGGGCCGCTCGTGCGCAGCAGCTACAAGGCCGGCGAGGCGTTCATCGAGAACGTTCTGCGGAAGCGCGCGGGCGAGAAGATCCCCGGCAGTGTTGTGGGCGCTGACGTCAAGCTCAACGATGCCGCGGCGGTGGAGGAGATCATGAAGAGCGAGAACGCTTAGACTGGAGTCGCGGGCGATAAACATTAGTTACTTTCTGCTGGCGGCATTAGAATCTCGAAACTCTCAAGGGACAAGCTAGCCGGCAGTCGGACATGTCTATTGCTGCATTGCATCTTTCACGGACCCGAAGACACTCTTTTCGGGGACCTGTAACATATATTCAACCACAATATGTCATACATCAACAATGGCGATAGATTCTATAATTCTGGGCTTGGGAATGGGACGTTCGGGCATTCATGAGTGATGGGCATGCAGAGTTGAAGGGGAAGAAAGTACTCTATACATACCTGTGACGCACAAAAGACCATACCGTGCTTGTTCAACGTTCCAAGGTTCGCAATCCATCGTCATCGCCTCAGCTCATCCGTGGTCTCGCCACTTGCCTGCTGCTTATGACTTTTGAGGTCTACTTGCTCCCTGGAAAAAGAAATGGCAGTCAAGTGGTGGTTTGTGCCATTTCCTGATATCTCATAGCCCCGAGATCGACAAAGTGGTCGTCTTTCCCAAGCATCTGCGGAGTTTAGGTACTTCCCTGCCATGCGCCATCATGCTTGGTGTCCTCGTTGTCTTTCGCACCAGGTCCTGCGAGGACGACGGGTTTCGGTCAAATACTGTTCCTCGCCATAGCCTTCAAGCCAGTTGGCCTCAAGTGAGTTGGTCGCGTAACAAACGCCGTCTTCGCTCCTCAACAACATCACTCCGCATCTTGAACCTCGTCGAGAGTTACTGCACCCTAGTTCTCGAAAGACAGAGAAACCCCATGAGAGCTCAACATGCTCCCCCGCTCGGCGGGAACCCAAGCCATCATACGGCGTGCCGTTTTCTGCTCAAGTGATCGTGCTAGACATAAAACATAGACAACGGCAGGACCAGGCGAGGGGGGGCGTTGCTGTAGATACTTCCCGCAGTTTAGCCAGCGGGCCAGAGTGCGAGATGCCCGCTTGCACTCAGCATTTCCGTTTGCCGACCGGAAGCATGCGCAAAGCCAAAGCGATATGGGGAAGACAGACGTGCCGATGCCGCTCTTCGTTAGCGGCTGTGAAGCACGGCCGCAGGCATCACCGGTGGTAGACGAGGGGCTATTGACGTGCGAAGCTCGGCCAAGCAAGGCAGCCGGTGCTGAGCGCCTCTTTCTGTTCTTTCTCTTGTCGACTTTTCATCCCGCTGGCTTACACTACAAACTGGGGACATCTGTCTAACGCCCCCGCTGAAGCAAAGTGCGAGTCAGAGCCAGTGTGTAGCTTATACCCCTTCCCGGCTTAAGACGTTACCGTTCTCTAACATGGCGAGAGAGAGACGGACGATTAGTGAGTAGACTCCTGGATCCCAAGTGGGAAAAGCTCGAAGCGCGTGATTATATGCCTCCATCGGTCTCTCGGCGAGATGTGCGGGTTTTTTTTTTTCTTCAAAGTTTCGCGAATAATGCAGACGCTACGCGGCGGCGCTGCAGAGAAAAAGACAAACGCCATTCCAGTCGACGCCGTTTGGGCGTTGAGGCGCTTAGGAAGCATGAACTAAAGCTAAAGTCTATTCCCTCCTCGCGATAGAAGAATCTGTAGCGTGGAGCAAAGAAGGTTTCAGACTAGTTCGTGCGCGGGAAAGAAGAACCGGACAGAAGAAGAGGATGTGAAAGTTTCCAGTCTTGATTCTCGAACATCTTTCCTTATCCGGCGGCAAGTCAGTTAGTCGTGAGTGATGCGTAAAGTTTCGGTCCGGCATCAGTAGCAGCAGTGCGAAGGAAACTAACTGCCTGACAGGGTTCCGAGACCCGACACCCACGCGCGCGGCGCAGGTAAGTAAACTTTGCAGCACGGCTTGTCAAGCTAGAGTTTCCCCGGAGAAAGAAGAAAGAAAGAAAAAAGAGAACAAGATCGCCGATAAGGTTTTGTCGATGGACTACGGTGGTCGAGAACAAGGTCAGGCACAGGCGCCACAGAGCCAGAGTCAAAGGGAAACAAAGCCAGGCACGCAATGCAGGCAGCAATTTGCACGCCTCCGAGTGCAAGGGGCAAAGGAAAGGAAGAAGACACCACAGCAAGTTGTTTAGAGGTATAGGGTCGTAGAAGGCAAGACAGGCCGACACTGACGCTGCAGGGCGCGGTTGTGTGTGCGCTGCGCGCAGTTGGAAATGGACACTTGATCGATGACCGATTCCCGACAAGAATCGCTGTTAAGGCACGCCCCGTGTGCTCACACCCGTCTGGCGAAGCAGGCCGCTTCGGAATGATTCCCCTCTCAAGACAAGGACGATCGATGGGTGTGCCAAGTCCTTTCTCCGTAATTTTAGGCTTTCGCTGTGGATGCGATGCGGAAAGCAGCCACTTCCGCATCGAGCAGACGTTCAGGACGGGCTTGCAGGTACGACACCACCCAGGGACAAGCGGGAATGTGCGTTGGACTGCCGCGGAACGTGTGCCGCACTTTTGAGACACACTCGGTGAGAGTGAAGAGTGTCCTCAGCGCTTGGCGGAATTGGAAGCTAGGTCGCCCGCGAGGGAGCATAACATGGCCAGCACACGTTCGTAGTGTACAACAATTCATACATGCAGCCATAGATCCATCACGGAATGTTTTGCAGAAACAAGGAAAACGGTGTTTGATGTGGAAATGTGGTATTGCGCAAGACCGCAGTCGAGTTCAAGACTATCAAGTCATAGCGTTATGTAAAGTTTCTCTTTGGTCTTTATCATCCATCCTCATGTCGCACATGATGTGTTCGAAATGTTCTTCCCCAGATACACTCTCCTATACATCGAATGTCTCGATCTTGCCCTACTGTAGGGTGTATGATCAAGGTTACAAAAAAGTGTGGTTTGAAATGAAAAGTGATAGAATGGTCCGCAGTGTGGGCCGTGTGGGATTGAAGGTGGTTCAGAAGGTGTCCAATATTTTCGAACTTTCTTGTACAAAGTCCAGCGGTTAATCAGTCCGTGACAGGGCAGCCTTGCCGCGCAGTACAGCGAAACCGCTTCAGCAACGATGGGGGTATCTCAAGAAAACACGAAGGCTTGGAAGTGAAGGGGAAATGGTAGAAGGCGCCGTTCGTGGTGTCCCGTGGTGCCGAAGCCGAAAGGC